ATTAACGCTTCTAAAATATCTTCTTTCAGTCGACTCCTGATCTCACTCAAAACTCTTTTACCTGCACTAAAAGCAGACTCCGAAGCAACAGTGCTAACCGGAGGTGTCAGCATATCTTTTGTAATCGCAGATGTAACTGGCCAACGTCGTTCTTACTTCGCCAGAATTCAATTACTTCGTCTGATCTTTTTTTAATTGTTTTATCCGTTGGCATATTCTAGTTGAAATAATCAATTAATTCAGCAGACATGGATTATGGCTAGAGCCCGTAGATGTATGATGAAAATGAGATACAGATGGTGATGACATTGCAGTGGCAGTGGTAGTAGATGAACACATTGCGGATAAGTCAAATATATACGAATTAATACCTTGAAATAAATTAAATATTTCTCCATCTTCTTCTTCAATTTCAGTGGAAGGACTAGGTGCAAATGGTACCCGACTAATATTGGTACCCATTCGGTTCACATATAATTCATACATTTCACATAATGTTTGCTCTAAATTTCTATATGTGATGGGTGTATCAAATGTTAAGACGTTTGAAATTTGATCAATTATATATTTAGTTTCCGATAAATTATATCGGGGTCCATCACGCATGCTCAAGGAAATAATATAGGCAAATCTTCCCAATATTTTCTAAATTTTAATTCCATAGCAATTATAATTTCACTAAAATCAGGGTCATTTCTGTATTTATGAAATGTTCTTACAATTATATAAAGACGTTCAAACACCATACAACTGGTGAGATAGTAAACGCCCGATAAAATCTTAGTGATTTCATAAAAAGATGTCAAATTTTTTTTTTAACTTTCAAAGCTAAATGCCAATCACATTCAGTAAACATACCCTTGTCATCACTTCTAACATGTCTATTATTATACAAGTCAGTTATTAAATGTTTAAAACATTCACATGACTTTAATAACAAGTAAGTAGAGTTCTACCTATGACCCACGTCGCTAACAAATGTTTTAACATTTTATACTCCTATTTCGGCACAATAATCCTCAAATGTTTGTTTTCTACTTAGAGAGATTGTGATATATATTAGTGCGTTCCTAATATTTTGAAGTTCATCATTTATATATTTTAAACCATTTTGGACAGTTAAATTCAAAATATGACATACACAACGAATATGAAACAAATACCCACCAAAATCAGGTTGTAGTACCCTATGCAATTTTTCAGCAACTATTTTATTAACACTAACATTATCGAAAGTAAATGAACGAATTTTACATTCGCAATGATATTCTCTAACAATACTAATAATAACATTAAATATATTATTAGCGTTGTGAGAAAACTCAATAATTCTAAAAGTAATAATTTTTTTATGCATGCACTAAAGTGGGTCTATATAATGTGCAGTTGCAGCTATATATGCTCTTTTATTAATCCCTCACCATATATCTGAAGTTAAAGATATGACACCCCCATATTTTTGCAAATCTATAATTAATTGTTGTTTTGTTGAAGTAAAATATTGTATTGTATTGGAACGAAGAGTGTTTCGACTTACCCCAACGTACCTTGACTGCATATATTCTTAAAAAAAAAAAAGGTTGAACCCCAACCTTAAGGGCCCCCACCGACCCTGCCCTGGGCCATCGTGGAGGAGGTAAATCGCAGGATGTGCCTCCCAGGAGCCAGGGTGGAGAGCACATGGATAGGCCAAGGCTGTTAACCCATATGGTAACTCCCACTTGCAACAAAACCAATTCCACCTTGCGGGGAATCGAACTCTGCACACTGCCGCGCTGAGTCCTATCCGCTGTTCCCTTTGCCACTGGGAGATATGCTCTGGGGGCTTGGCTGCATATATTCTTTCACATACAAGACGTAGTGTTAGTTGTCAATTAATGTCAATGGCAACTCAACACCAGCAACAAGTTTCACCATTCCGGTTCGAGCTTTTTCTTTCGAATACACCCATGTGGATAGGGGTGCAGTAGAACCACCGGCGTCTGGACTGTCAAATTGAAATTATGTTTGACAGCCTAGAATAAGTCCGTGTTTGGCCGCACATACTTTGTAATGACGGTTGAGATGGGTGATACCAATTCTTCTTTGCCATACCAATCTTTGTTGACAGTATTTACATACTGCTTTGGATTCTTGGACTCCATTGACGATTTTTCTCGTCGAAATCAACTTAAAGTGATCCTAACATTTTGCTTGTTTTTTCCCCTTTCGTTTTCCCCTCGCATCAGGAACGTTTAATTCAGCCTCTTCTTCCTGATCGTGTTCCGCTTCGGGAACGTCAACATCATCCAAATTAATTGGATAATTTGAATTGCCACTTACATGATGATGAAGATCCAAATCTGGAATATTTTCAGATAGGGATACGTCATTTAGACCTTCAAATTAATTCTGAAATTGACTTTGCGGTGTCATAAGCGATTCGTTTCCTCCCACACCGAACAAGTTTTCGACAAATGAGCGTGGATCCATTTGTTTAGTTGTAATAAGTAATAACTAGTAGAAGAATAATTGTATAAATATAGTGAGAAATGAAAATTGGATGAAATTTCAATAAATATAGTGAGAACTGAGAAATGAGAATTGAATATTGTATAAATTGTAAATAAAAATTGCAAGTTAATAACACAATACAAAAAAGTTGGGAGAAAGATAATTGAAGGTTGAGAGAGAATTATAAAAAAAATTTGTGGCTAAATGACACTATTTATAGAAGAAGAAAAAACAAAATATAAGGACCAAAACGGTCACTGAAGAAATTCAGTGACCGTTAACGGTAAAAAAAAATAAAAATAAAATTGGGGGATTGAAACGGTCACTGATGTCACATTTTAAAAAATGTGATCGTTTCGGTCACATTTAAAACGAGCCCATGAGCTTGGGCTCGCGGCTCATTTATAGCGAGTCGCTGGCGGGCTCGTCGCGAGCAGCTCGTTTTTTGTGCTAGCCGAGCGGGCTCGACTCGCGCTCAAGCTCATGTTTTTACGAGCTCGAGTCGTCCACGCGCTTCGTTTTCGCGAGCAGACGAGCCGCTCGGCTCATTTGCCACCCCTAGTTGTGCACACACATATTATATATTACTATGATAAAATAATAACTTATAATAAATAACTTGTGATTTTATTTATTTATTATATTTATTTATTATTGAGCATGTAAATTAAAATGCGTATGATCACTTGTGATAATATAAAGTGGATATATGCGTTGAGAAATACAGTGTGACACAACTTATATTTTGATCATAAATAATTTCCTCACAGCTAATGTATAAAGGCGAGTATTGGAAGATTGTAGTGTTGACAGATTTATCAGTCGGGTTTGTGATTTGTCCTAAGATGACACGAGTATAGTACACTTAGAATGTATTAAACGGATTGTGTGTCAAGTTTAATTATATAGTATGACCATGCAGGGAATTAAATTTTACTTAATCATTGTGCATTTCATTTAATTTTCTTCATAGGGTTATGTATATTTTTTCATCATTTAAATAGTTTTTTAGTTTATCAATGAATGAGATCAATTTGATTGGTCAAATATCTCGATGTTATAAGCTTGATAATGAGCGAAATAGAAAACATGAATTCGTGTCGAGAACCGTCACCTTGAAAAATTAGTAGAGTGACTATTTAAATATTTTTTTCTGTTGAATGATTAACATCTGAGTTCAGTGATTAGTGATGGCTAAAATTCGACATCGATGATTAGTTTGCAAGATCGTTGAATAAAATAGTCTTTAAGTAGTTAGAATAATTAGAGTGGCAAAATGGTCGTTTATGCTCATACTTAATTATCGAATCTCAAACAGGGATAAATACATATACGGTAGGTCAGAGAAAATTATTATAGATTTATTGGTTTCTGTGATTTTAAATATTCCATGAGTTCAATTTTTTGCCTTTAGCGAAAAAAACAAAGACTAATAATTAGATTGGCTACTCTAAGGTCGACGAGACAGATCTAATTATTGGATTTGGATAATATATATCTGATTAGGTCCCTGTGTTAGTCTACAAAGTATTATAACTTAATTATGGTAATTATAATAGTTTTGGACTTAATTCTACTTATAATAAATTTTTGTAATTAGTTGTAATTACTATAAAATTGTAACATTAATTATAATTGTAATTAAATTTCTAGGAGTACACATGTAATTAAATGTAAACTGATTGGATATGAACTTTAATTAAAACTCCTATTTAAATGTGAAATTATTATTGTGCAAGATTTGTAAATTATAACTATTCTATTTTTATAAATAGAGATTAAATGGGACATAGATAGAAGATGACAATCATAATACAAAATTTGGAGAGAGAAAAAGATAGAGAAATTATTTTTCTTATTTTATTCAATTGTCCAGTCCAATACTTACGGGGCATCTTCAACAAAGATTTTGATGGATTTTAAAAAATTATAAATCCTAATGAATTTCGTGAATTTGAATAAATTCTCAAAAATTTCATAAGAATCTCATCAAATATGATGAAATTTAAAAATTTTTGATATTATACATTTTTAAACTTAAAATTCATCCAAATCTTTTAAAATCACTTTATTAATGAAATTTTTATAAATCACTAATTATTGAAGGTACCTAAATTTAAAAAAAATAAATCATTGAATTTCATTAAAGTCTCAATTGGGGACATTTCAATTTTAATGGACGTCATTAAAATTCATTAAAATCTTAGTTGAAGATACCTAAATTTAGAAAGATTTTAAAAATCCATCACAAATATAATTGAGTTCTTAATTTAATTAAAAAAAAGTTGTCCGGCCTCCAAAAAGGCTATAAGTTTATGATTCAAAATTTATTCAAAAATTGACTATCAAATTTAGATAAAATTTCGAATTTTTATTTTTGATATAACAGACATGAAAATTTGATTTAACCTTTTTTTTTTTTTTTTCGTGTAATTCAACTTTGCGTTGCAACATGATTAATCTATTTGTACGTTCTGCCTTAACACTTCTCTTAACTTATTGCTTATGTGGGAATTTGTAAGATGTGAAAAAGATTGCTTGAGAATTTCAATTGTAAATTCTATAATCCAAGATGTAAATATAAGAACGTACATGAAACATGATGCAGGCGGGATCTATTTAGTTTTATAAAATTTTGTTGAAATTATAGTTAAAGAAGGACTCCATTATTCCGTTACATAAAAATTGGGAGGGAAAGTAAGATTCCATCAACGAATCGAATCAAATTTATGATAAATTATTAATCTAGAAGACTTGCATCACAACACGAACGACAGCGTTGAATCTACGGTAGCTCATTTTCGTTTTTCTATTTCCTTATCAAATTTTAACGATTTCTTTATGATACAATATGCGCCACTGAAAGATTATTTATTTATTTATTTATTTTATTATTATTATTATTTCTTTTTTTATGTAGTTGGAAGACAATTATTTAGGTTGTTTTTCAACTCTGAAAAGGATTGTTTCTTTTCAGTTCGTCATTCGTTATGAATAAGTTTCAGTGTTTGTTTCAATTTAGGGTTTATATTATTATTATTTTTGCAGAAGAAGAGAAATTCCAGTGAAGAAGTTTGGTCTCAGGAGAATTTACTTTGGCTGGATACTGATTTTAGTGATTTGTTCAAAACCTGGAAAAGTTGTTGAACTGATTGGTACCCAATTTTTGTTGGTTTTTGAGCTGATAAACAGTGATTGTTCGTTTCCGTGTTTGTAATTGTCCGCGCAATACATTGAGAGAACTTTTTTTTCGTTCAGTTTTGGTGGATGACAAACAAATTTCATCGTGTTTGAAGTTTGAGGTTTTTAATAGAAAAGATGGATGGGATGCGGAGGATACTGATGGAGGTTCTGACAGAACCCCAAAGAGGCGGTGAATCAGTGCTTGGGACTATTAAGATTGCTGTTTTACCAATAGCAAAAGTTTTTACCATGTGCTTTCTGGGATTCCTCATGGCCTCCAAGTATGTTAACATTTTGCCTGCCAATGGAAGGAAGCTTTTAAATGGGGTAAGCACTATTTATGTGAGGACATTTAAACTTTACTATTGCACTTTCTGTTTGTGTTTTTGGAAGTTCTCCATTAGATATAGCAATGAATTGAATGGATGGTAAAAATGGATTTATGAAGTTGACATCAAATTTATTGGAAAACAAAGTTTTATTTGTTGTTTATTTTTGCTATGTGTATTTTGGATGTCACTGAATGCGAGGTTGAATTCAGTTCTTCTATGTTGAACTGCTGCCTTTGTATAGTTTATATATGTGAGTTTATATGAGACATATAATTGTCAACACTTACCGGAAAGCCTGCACTTAATTTATGTCCAGTTCTATGCTAAGCCTATTATGAAGAGAGAGTTTATGTTAAGAGGAAGTGATAGAAACTTTAATTCAAAATCCCTGTGTAAAAGTTTGATAAAGAAAATATTACTTTATAAGTGTGTCTACCTTACATTAATTAGGAGATGAATTGTTTAAGTTTCATATTTTGCACATGTTATTCTTTTTCTAAGAAATTCATAATATTTGCAGTCATTTCCCTTCACTACCGACTAATCGTTCATATAACTTGATGCAGCTGGTTTTCTCGCTTTTGCTCCCATGTTTGATATTCTCTCAACTTGGACAAGCAATTACTTTTGAGAAAATGCTTCAATGGTATAGATTAGATATTAAGTCGCTTGCTCATTTTTAATTGCAATAACTAGTTTTAAGAGCTCAACTGACATTTTTGTTTTTTTGCAGGTGGTTTATCCCTTTCAATGTTGTTCTTGCCACCATATCAGGATCCATTATAGGTCTCATTGTTGCATTGATTGTCCATCCTCCATACCCATTCTTCAAGTTTACCATTATACACATTGGCATTGGTAAGTATTACATTTGGACATAAATTTTCAGTTATTTTGTCCTTTTGTTCTCTACCGCAAACTGAGATCGGCTGCTAGCTAGTCAGATTGCAGCAAGAATGCCTCTCGATCTACTTCCTGCAATCTAGGAATAAAAATGTCATAAGATAGGATTTTTCTTTTTCAATTTCATCGTCTATTGTCTGAAACTAATCGATCCAGGGTCCATCTAATGAATTCCCCTCTAGGTTTGTCATAGGTCTTTTCAAAATACATTTGAGCCATTGCTCCTCTACTCAGTAATCTTACTCTGAAATTAGACCTTTTGCTCCTTGAAAATGAAAGTTTTTCCTATTTATCAAAAAGATAGGAAAGTTTTCAAAAACTCTTTTGCAAGCAAAAACAAAAGAGTTCTCCAGAGAGTGGATTGGTACTGTACAAATATATGCATTGAGAGCTTGTCCTGCCTTTCGTATAGTCTGTAGTACCCGAGTTAATGACCTAAGCACTAGAATAGACTTTATTTTAGAAGTTAAAAGCATAAAAAGTGGAAGATATATCTCAGGTAACTGTGTTAGATGGCTTTTCAAATGTCCCCAACAGATATTTTAACTTTTCAATTTCTTCACAATTGAACTCTGCAGACAGCTTTTAGTTTATTGGGTTTTTGCCATATATACCTACTTCAGCCTACCTCTATCACACCAATTCTAAGATGAATTTTGAGGTCTATTGTGAAGCTTCCAGCACTTGTCCCTTTTATGACTCAACTTTTTGCAATAAGTGCACCATAGTGTATCTTTATTCGAGGATCTCATCAGATCTCCTTGTGTATTGTTTTCACCAGCGTGCTGCTCCATGATAGAATCCTTCATGTTTGTGTTTTCTGACACTAAAGCGAACTCTCCGTTGTAGGTGTGTCAACCATAACTCCTCTTCTTCCTTCTACAACAAGGACGATTTCAATAGCCTCATTTAATGATACGTCTTCTTTTCCAAGTATTTACACCCGTGTTACATCAAACTCAATATTTAATCAGGCAAGAAATTCGTAAATTTGATTTTTCTCAATGAACACCTTAAGAACAGCAACATGTTCACTGCAGTTCATTTAGATGCTTTGATAGTGATTCATTTCCTGCCAAGAACCTTTTAAAAAGTTTGAATATTCAGTGATTAATCAATCTTTCGGCATGGTGGCAGTCACCTTAGTTGTGATTGTGTAAATTTGTGCAGCATAATGGACCTTGGAGTAAGTCTGTTTGACTGCCTCGGTGCCTTCCATATACCTTTAGCCATGTCCAAAATTTACACGCTTCACTGATTTCTGGCACCATAGAGTTCTACAATCAGGACATCAACATTGGGTCCTATTCATCCCAAGCATCAAACTTTGGATCCTTTTCTAGGCCAAGTACCAAGTAGATTATTCAGTTTGCCTCGTCCCTTCCAAAAGATGCGAATTAGTTTTGACCACTTTAGATAATTCTTCTTGTTCAATCTATAGGCTGCTTGAATGTTTTGCAATTCTCCTGTATATAAAGATTATTGTTTTCAAGCGCTCTAGTCTCCAAAGGAGTGCTGGTTGCTGAAGTATGTGTCATAGTTCTTCGTATGGTCTCAAAGGGCGATCAATTGGGGTTTAATTGACAATGTAAAGAAAGGAGGATGAACAAGAAAAGAACGAATACAATTACTAGGGTAACGAGCCTAAAGCTATGATACCATGACACAAAATAGGAGATTAAAAAATATGAATTGCAGACTATCAGGGTTTATGTAGCTGAAACCCAATCAGTAAATTAAGGAAACTACCAATAAAGTAAATATACAAATCATAACTAATCCCTAAAGATATTCTAAAGGTCGGAAATTACAATGGTTACAAAATAATCCTAATTATTCACAGCTGTACTCGGCTGCCCAAATTAGGATAATCATATTTTCCTGCAATAACTAACTTATAAATATGTTCACCGAACATGGATGATAACTAATATATTAGGAGCTGAAATTTAAAGCTATTGACTAATTGGGAAATTGCAAGAAAAAAGCCACAAAAAAGGTACGAGATTATAACTAGAAGCTTTACATTTTTGTTTGTGGACAACAAGTTCACTGAATGTTGCATTTATATCAAGGACTGCACTTTCCCTAATAATTCATTCTTATTCAAACCAAGCAATATTTTTAATGAGTGATGGAAAAATATATAAGAACCAGATGATGACCTCTCATTTCATCAAGAGCTACATATATAATGTAATGTTGGGTATACATTTATTGGTTCACTTCTGAGTCATTCCTCTATGCTAGAGTTGCAATTTACACTTTCCGTGTGTGAGGTGGATGAGCCAGGTTATCCAGATGATCAGATGCCTTTTTATGTTATAATATGTAAGCATTACGATTTCATTGAAAATAGAGATGATTGGAGTGCTTATTATTTTCTGGTTCCTGTACTCTACTTGGATGTTCAGTATGTTTTATTCTAATCTGATATGTGCATTCAAAACAAGAAATTTTAAACCTGAATGGTTTGAACACATAGGTGTTATAATAACTCTAGCTTTCTTGATATTCTGGAATTTGCTTGTTTACAGGGAATATTGGAAATGTACCACTTGTCTTGATTGCTGCATTATGTGGGGATAAATCTAACCCTTTTGGGGACTCTGCAAAATGTTCTCAAGATGGAAATGCCTACATCTCATTCGGCCAGTGGGTACGTTATAAGTTGAAAATGCTTGCTGCCACTACAACTCACCTTTAATTGATTTCACTTTTATCCAAGTGAGAGATTCTATATTAGCATGGAAGTAAAATTTGTGAGAACTTGTAGAATGAGTGCAGCCACTTGTACCTTTTCACTCACTCTGCTTTTAGATATTCTGATTATTGCATATAAATGAGTATGTCGAAATCTTTTAATTTAATAATTGGCAAAGCCCATAAAACATAAATTCTCATGGATTTCACCACTTCAACAAGCCTCTCTGCTTACTTTTCTATAATATATTTCTGTTTACTCAATAACTTATTTTGTTCATAGGTTGGTGCAATTGTCCTATACACCTATGTATTTAATATGCTTGCACCTCCTCCTGAAGGCACGTTTGATGTTGAAGAAGAGAATCTTCCCTTTAAGAATCCTCCTAACAAAAGTTCCAGTAACCCTGCAAAGAAAAGTTCCTCTGAGCAAGTTCCACTGCTCACGGAAGAAGCTACACCAACGAATTCAGGTGTAACAACGAAAGAGAAGGTGAAAATGAACCTATTTTACTTACAATATGCACTGTATTGATTTAATGTGTTCAGGTCTGAAAATGTCAATGACAATATTTCCTTTCTTAAATTGGAAAACACTTGAAAATTTTGACGTTTGGAACTTGAGGATTCAACCATATAGAAGTATATAGTTATGTATAAACTCAACGTGACATACATATGAATGTTATTCAAGTGATAAAGCCACGGTCCATAGCACACATCAAGCAGTTGGGGTTGAATTTTGGGTATTGAATCTACTAATTTTGCACTATTTGTGCTTCCTTGTGCAGATTAAAGATTTTCTGAAATTTCTCTATGAAAAATTGAAGCTCAAGCAAATCATTCAACCTCCTATTATTGCTTCTGTAAGTTCAGTTTCTTTTTACATTTGATGCGATGGTTAAATCTCTTTTTTCTTCACTGACTGCAGTGGCATATCCATTTCCTTAAAAACTCTTTGTTGATAACCATAGGCACTTAAATGACGAACCTTATTTCCTCTGTTAGTGAATAGCGATTCAATGTATCATAGTATCAATTTGAAATTTACATTTCAATACACATCCATGATTTAAAATGCTTATCATTAGAGGTAGCGTGACGCTTCAACAGCATCGGTACAATAAAATTGTGAAAAAGCCTATCCCTTAAAAGTCATGAATAATTGTAACTTTTAACAAACCTGTACCTACTCAAAACTATATCAGTCCAGAAAGTTGTTCTCAAGATGGGGCTTTCGAGTCTATTTATTTTATCTTTCTTTTTTTTCTTTTTTTTCTTTTTTTTGATGGGATGTGGTGCATGTTCACGATATAGATGGTTTTGGGACCCATTTCTGTGTTTTCATAAAATATGAAAACTTAACGTATGAAGTTAGCCTAATAAGCTGCCTGCAATATTTGCTACAGATCCTCGCTATCTTTATTGGATGTGTTCCATCTTTGAAGAAATTAATCTTCACGCCAGATGCTCCACTCTACTTTTTTACTGATAGCTGCTTGATTCTTGGGTACGTTCAATTCCTTCCCAGAAAAAGCTAAATCTAATTACTCTTTTGCTTAGTGTTTTTATGGTTCTCCGGTTGTGCATTGTAATGCACTTTTAAGCTTCATTTGGAATAGGCATATGTTTGGTACACATTAGTAGACATTATTTGGAACTATACTATAAATCAGATTCTTGATTTTTCTTCTTCTTGAATATGTTGACGTGCCAAAAAAAAAAAAAAAAAATATATATATATATATATATGTTGACGTGCTGTTGTCGTATGACTTATGGGAGCTGTTAACTATGCCCGATGGATAAATTGGCTTAACTATCTATATTATCTGTGTTCAAATTGTTGTATAATCATCTAATAATGTCCGATTACCAGGGAAGCAATGATTCCGTGCATATTGTTGGCATTAGGAGGCAACCTTGTGGAGGGTAAGTTGGCTACACGATTGGCATAACTTGGAAGCAATATGATTTCATTGAAAGTCTGAAGATTTCATGGTGTATTAGCTTGCTGAGTATTTCCAATTATAAGCCTCTGTACAGCGCAGGGATCTGGACTCTGGAATTTGTTTCTCCTATCATTCGTTATCCTCATTACTAAGATGATAGTTCTTGCAGGACCAGGAAGTTCAAAACTAGGTGCACGGACAACAGCTGCCATTATATTTGGGCGACTAGTATTGGTTCCGCCAGTTGGTCTTGGCATTGTCACACTGGCTGATAAGCTTGGCTTCCTGCCCCCGAATGATAAAATGTTCAGATTTGTCCTCCTCCTCCAGCACACAATGCCCACATCTGTGCTATCTGGTAAGCATGTATATATAGAGACAGCAAATCTTAGGCCTTGTTTGGGAGGGATTTTTTCGAAAATAAATTTTTCCAAAATCATTTTTAACCACATATTCTCCAAAAAAAAGTTATCTTTCACTTAGAAAAACATCTCCCCAAATGAATGCTAAATGTTATGTGTCAAAAAAAGTTAAAATTTTGTTTATCATATAATGAGTCTTGCCCCATCACGCATCAAATGTAATATTATAACATTTTTCTCCAACTTTTAAGAGTATTCAAGATAGCGGCACACCCTTATAAACCTCGGGAATCAACTTTTAAAATGTTTTATGAACTAAGCAGTGTTCCAAAAAGCACATAGACGCGAAGCTCTAATGAAACACCATGTCTTGACAGTGAGCACAAAATTAAGATATTAATTGTCAAGTTGACCGTTTAATACGTGACTAGGCACGCCTAGACGCATTTTATTAAATTTATTTATTTTCCTTTTTTAAAAAGTCTTTTATTTGATTTTAGTTTCAAGTTTTTTCTTTGAAAATTATATAATTGACTAATTATATAAATTATTAAGTATATATAGTATTTTATAATTTTAGATGTTAGGAATATGTTATTTAAATTATTAAAGGATTTATAGAGTGATTAAAAATAGGAAAACAATTTTTTTACGTCTAGGCCATGCCTACTCATAAAGCATTCACGCTTTGTGTTTTTTAGAACATTGCTATGAAGTAAAAGCAGCCGTGTTATTGAAGCTGTCTACTTTTGTCAGTTTAAACCATGGTTACGTTATGGCTATTTGATGATCAAACTTGCAAAAAAATAATAATAATAATAATAACAATAAATAAATAAAGATACTAACAATATCCAAATCCACAGGAGCCGTAGCTAGTCTTAGAGGATGCGGGAGGGAAGCAGCTGCAGTATTGTTTTGGGTTCATATCTTCGCTGTTTTTTCAATGGCTGGATGGATCATTCTCTATCTCAACATACTATTTTGAAGTATATAATGGCACCCTGCCATCGCAGCATCTGCACTGGCGGCTGCAATATTTGGATGGATCGACAATTTCGAATTTGCTCGTCCAACCAAGATAATGTGATGACAAGCTGTTCAAGACGAACTGGGTTTTCTCAGTTTCATGCACAAAATTCAATAGTGAGTTGGGAGGCATAGACCATAAATTTAGATGTACAATTCATGAGAACCTGCAGAATTCATCTTTAATAATTTGTATATAAAGCTTCTTTAATATACAGATATCTCTGCTTCATTATCATGTGCATCCTCCATTTGTTTTCTTGAACGCATGTTGTATTGTTACTCTTTATGAGCCTCTCCCACAGACCACAAAGAAGCCAAACAAACAATACAAAAGAAAATATGTAAATTATTGAAAAGAAAAACAGATTCAATTAGATGGACTCTAGAAAAATGGTCATCTGTCAAGTTGTGTTAAAATTCACGTAGTTAACTTTATTGCACATACAATATAGCTCACATGCCTTTGAAACTCCAGGAAGTTGATTTGGATAAACAATAACACCTGCTAGAACTTGAACTATATTTCACCTCCACCCTAAGAAGGGAAACACCACAAGGCATTAACAACATTCTTTATGTAGAAAAAGAAAACGAAGACATCTGCCAAAATGAACAATTATCCGTGTCACGCCTCTAAATGCAGGTTTTGTAAACCAGGAAATCTTTGAACCTATAAGTTTGAGGTTAGTTGCGCAAACCCAAGAGTCCACTATTTCTAACCACAATCTGGAGACTAAAGAACATGTTAGAAGAAAGACCACCACCTTCGACTTCGGCTATTCTCCCTGGCAGGGAGAACGCGGTCACTCGGCCACCTTCCATCTATTAAAGGCTTTCCTAACCACAACATAAGAGTAATGCCTAAAATACTGACGATAGGAGCAGCAGCAGCAAGAAAGAATCGTCGGTTTCTTGGACTTTCCCTAATAGAGTTATCCGCGACATAATTTCTATCCACTAGTTCCTCATCTGCTCTAGCACCATAAAATTGAGAAACTTCATCAACTACAGCATCATCCGTAGTGTCTGAAGAACTATCTTCATTCAAATCACGCTGCTCAGTATGGAGCATCCTAAATCCACTCTCTCTGTCTCTTTTCTTCTCCTCATAATCCTTGTCGTCAGTTGGGAGCTCATATCGACAAAGGGGGCACGAGTTGTGTGCAGTCAACCATGGCAATATGCAGGAAGGGTGATAGATGTGAAAACAAGGAAGTTGGTTTACAACAGTGCCAGCAATTAAAGAATCCTTGCAGATTGCACAAGCCAAATCATCCAGATTGTCATGGTTTTCGTTAATGATCACACGTGGCAAATTATTTACAATGGATGTCGCCGCTGGAGGTGCTCCCCTTCTTGAACTATCAGTACCAGCAAGGTGCTCAAGCAGGTTCTCAAAGCCTCTGGAATCAAGATAATCCCCAGCATTTCCAACATAATTTTGTCTCTCTAACTCTTGAAAATTAGTAAAGTAGTCAGCAGTACGTGTTTGTGTCCTATCCGAAACCCTCATTCGAAATGTATCGTCAAATTCAGGAGAAGAACGTTGTCTATGCCAATTTATGCGTGCGTTGCTCCCATTTGACCCATAATTCTGGGTTCGAGCTCTCGAGGATTCAACATCAGTTTCCTCCCAGTCACTATCTTCACCTTCACCTTCTTCTGAATCTTCTGAGTTCCACTGGTATAGACCAGCATGCATTGGGTCTATATCAGTATCACTCTCTAGGTCACTTCCACCATCTGCTTGGGCAAGAGTTTCATTTTCCAAAAGACTGTTACCATCAATGGAGGCATCAGAGTCTCCTCCATAAGTGGTATAAGAAAGGGTATCGGCCTCACCGTGGAAATATCTGTATCTCCTGAAGCTGACATTTGATTCATTCTCCCCATAGAAAGAATCAAATCCATCACTTTCAGTATCAGAAAACACCCTTCTCCATCTACTGGACCCACTTGGAGTTGTACGAGTACTCGTAAGCTGCACTAACCTTGCAGCACCATCTACAGATTGATTATCATGCTCTAAGACTGTAGACTGGGTTTGACTTGCCAGAGTTATCATTTGCGCAAATTGTTGGGAGAACATAGACTCGATTGACTCAAAGCTGTCGTACCCTCTCCTCCTTGGGCCAAGTGTTCTCCTTGAGTGTGAGTCTGGTGTGGTGGTCTCGAGATCCTCAAGAAACAAAAACTTGCAATCTCCACATATGTTGATAGCTTCAAGATCACCAGCCTCATTATCAGATAAAAGGATTCTTTGGCATAAAGCACAAGTTGCGGAGACAACAGGAAGGACAGAGTTTTCACCATATAAATTCTCATTTATGTGGCTGAGTCTGGACTGAGCAGATTCTTCCAACATATCTTCTGAATTTACATCCATTTCAAACTGCAATGAAATCCACAGAACATGAATAAATTGAGTCCAGATAGCGATAGCGTAAAATGTCATTCAAGAAACTGACAGTGCTGATTAATATACAGTGCTGATTAATATAAACCACATAAGCTAAGATAAAATGAGAATGGTGGTGGTGGGGGTGGTGCTAGGGAAACAATTTCTTGATAGATTGTAAACAAACAGTAGTAGACTATGATAAAAACACACAACCACTCTGTATACAATTTTGTCTAATGAATATAATAGCTGAAGTTACCAACCTCTCCCCCATCAGTACCAAAATTAAATACTCAGGCACTGACAACAAGGCAGCCCAAATCCACCGAATAGGTATTCTTTCCTAGAGAAATTAGAAGGCCGATAAACCCTAATTTGTTGAAGCCATAAATTCCACCCTCTCAAGAAATCATTTTTCCAAGTCAATATGCTAAGATATCAGAAAGATCAAAGGAAAACTACTGGTTTATATGCATTTGAAGATCCACATAAGTTCAAATGCTAGATTAATAAACAGGATTAGTGTAGTGAAAAGAAAAATGAAAAAGGATACTGAGCCACACATTAAAAAAATAAAATTAATTTGAGTTAGATTGTAAAATATTGAATTTCAGGTACTAAGATAAATGAGATCCAACTATCTGTTTCGTTTCACTGAAGCAAACACGATAATTTCCCCCAATCATCTTGACCCAAAATATTCCAACAACTGACAATTAAATATTTTGATAGGCACAAGCCTGCTTCAAATTCACTGAAAAACTTAAAATTAATAAACCAAAACAAAAATGCAGACACGAACTTTGCCCACCAAGTATCTGATATATTAATAAATCAAAAGACCACGAGATCCAACTGATTCAAATGTAAATCTAACAGAAGCAAGATCGATAATTTGCGATATGGAAGGGTAAATTTAATTTACTATATTGATTAGCCGGAGACCAGGTCAATGTCGCTGGCCGATGACCAAAACTTTGAATCCGAAGGGTGAAGTCAATAATCGATCTCCTGAACAAAATTTAAAAGGAATAAAGAGTGAAAAACACAGTTCTAAGCATAATGTAAACCCTAAGCTTCTCATTTTGCTAGAACTAGAAAAAGAAACAAAAAGAATTGAAAAATGAGGCAGAGTTTACCAATCCAGGAAGACAAAATTGAAGCCGAAGTAGGGCGTGGACTGAAGAATACAACACCATACCTAAATGCAAAGAATCAAATGAAAATAATTTTTCAGAAGAAGCCAGGAAGAAGTTGTATTTGCGAATGCCAAAAAGTCGTGGTGGTGGTTGTGGAGCCCATTTCCACGTTTATCAAAGTATTGAAATATATTTTTCAATTTGTTACTATTGTTTTTTAATACGAGATTATAATTTTTTTTAAACACAATTATCACTCACTGGATGAGCAAAGGTAGGTTTAGTGCACGTCTCGTTTAAGATTGCCAATGAATGCAACCTTCGTGTTCTATTGTGATTAATTGAAATTGAAAGCTAGAATTATTAAAGTATAAGCCTCTATTTGGTATTGATTAAAGTTCAGAACTTTTCAACCATATATTTCGTTTATTTTTATTAAAATCTACTAAATATCTGATTTTAATTCCCACCAAACATGAGGCCCATTTCCACGTTTATCAAAGTATTGAAATATATTTTTCAATTTGTTACTATTGTTTTTTAATACGAGATTATAATTTTTTTAAACACAATTATCACTCACTGGATGAGCAAAGGTAGGTTTAGTGCACGTCTCGTTTAAGATTGCCAATGAATGCAACCTTCGTGTTCTATTGTGATTAATTGAAATTGAAAGCTAGAATTATTAAAGTATATGCCTCTATTTGGTATTGATTAAAGTTCAGAACTTTTCAACCATATATTTCGTTTATTTTTATTAAAATCTACTAAATATCTGATTTTAATTCCCACCAAACATGAATTAAAAATCAACTTTTAAGGGAGGAAATGGGACATTGACACTGCAAAAAGAAAAATTTATAAGTAAATAGAAATTAATGGTGAATAAGTTGATAATACTTATTAATCCATTAAAATGTGTTGTTCTAATTACAAATGATTTAAAAATTAATCAAATTTTGAGTGATAAGTGTTATCAATTTTCTACTACTTATTTTCAAATATTTATAATTAAAACTGTCTATAAACACTTCCAAACACAGTATAAGTTTAAAATTGGGATAATTACACGGTACACCATTAACTGATTAACACAATTTAATTCCCAAAAATGGTTCTTATGTGAAACTAAGGCTACCTCACATCAACATAAAATGAACACCCTTAATCTGAAAAGGTATGAGACCTTGAACAACGAAGTGAAGAAGTTGATTGATAATCGATTCATCAATGAGGCCACTTATCCGAAGTCGGCATATAACCCCATCCTTGCAAATAGATTAGCTTGTTGGTTCTATCATCCGCCATGAATTGCTAAGCTTCATAGACACCTATTCAAGCTAAAACCAAATCCCCATGTACCCAGCTGATAAAGAACATATGTTCTTCATAACGGACAGAGGTATCTACTACTACAAGATAATACCCTTCAGATTGAAAAATGTCTTGGGCCACATATTAAAGACTCGTCAATTGGATGTTTGTTGAACTCATTGGTAAAATTGATGGAGGTTTATGTAGATGACATGTTCGTGAAGAGCCTCAAAACAAAGGATCGTGTACTTAGAGAAAGCTTTTCGAATATTAAAAAAGTACAGAATGAGGTTGAATCCCTTAAGTGCGCATTTGGTGTCGCCTCAGGAAAGTTCTTAGGCTACCTGGACAACCAAAGGGGCGTAGCGGCTAATCCTGAAAAGATTAAAGCCCTGGTCGAAATGAGGTCACTCCAAAAGCATAAAAAGGTACAAAGCCTCACTAAGCACATAGTAGCCTTAAGCTGTTTCGTATTAAAGACTAATAGGTGCCTTCTCTTCTTCAAAGTTCTAAAGTGAGTAAAGTTTCAGTAGGTGGAGGAGTACGAAGAGGCCTTACAAGAGCTGGAGAAACACTTGGGACAAGCCCCTCTCTTCTCCAAACGTAGACTTAACAAGTCCCTACAACTATATTGGGGATATCTACCGACGCCATCAGTTCAGTGCTGTGAGAGAGGAGGGTGATCATTAACTACTCGTTTATTATGTAAGTAAAGTACTTTTGGTCACAGAGACCTACTATCCAGATATGGAAAAGCTAGCTTTCTCTTTGGTGACTGGCTCTAAGAAGTTGAGACCATACTTCAAGGCCCATACCATTCAGGTGCTAACAAACTTCTCGCTCAAGCAAGTACTTCGAAAACCGAACTCTCTTGGAAGAATGATAAAATGGGCTATAGAGTTCAGCAAGTTCGAAATTATTCTTAGGACAAGAGCTGCGACTAAGGGCCAAACCCTAGTAGACTTTGTGGCAGAGTTCGCCAATATTCCAGAAATGGAAGAGAAAAATGGAACCCGTCAAACCCACCCAACTGGAACCTATTTGTTGATGGTTCCTCTAGAGAGACGGGCTCTGGGACATGAGTAGTCTCAGTTAGCCCAGAAGAACACAAGCTTAACTGTGCAGTAAGGTTTGGGATCAAGGCCACAAATAATGCAGCAGAATATGAGGCCCTACTAGCGGGCTACAAACTGGCCAGGAAAATGCAAATAAAGAGGCTACTTGTCAATGGTAACTCCCAATTGGTAGTTAGCTAGGTTATGACAATCTTTTAGCCCAAGACAAAAGTATGGCAACATATCTGAAGTTGATCATGGACTTCGTTCCATCCTTTGAAAGGTTCGAGTTAGCTCATATTCCACACTTGGAAAACTCCCATGTTGACGCTCTTTCGAAGTTGGCAAGTAGCAAAGATTTTGAGCTACTCACTGTTGTACCTATAGAATACCTCTTTAGACCCCCACTTCTAAAAAAATCACTAGGCAAAGATTGAACTCCTGAGAAGAAAGAGGATGAAGGTAGATGTCATGTACAACACCCAATTTCACCTAGGTCAATTCGAAGTGATTGACCAATCCTACAACATATACAAAGTCAGAATCAACTCAATTGTAAAACACAGATAGCTAAGGATAGGATACTCACGAGCTTCGAAGTAGGTGGTTGGAACTATCACGTGAGAGACCTTGTCACCCTCATATGTCTGCCACCGTCCCCTTACCAAGAAGCAGGTATCCTTTCATCCTTTGATGGAAGGAGGAGAGAGGCCTATGATGAGAAGGTATATACCCTCCATAGACAAATAAAATACCAGCCTTTGGAGTCCCCTTTATGTAGGCATCTAGCTTGAAAAATGGATTGGAAGAGGAGAATGTGCATGTCTTCATCCAAGGAGTTCTCCTTCTACAAGAAGTAGGTCCCAAATAGTTGGGCCAAGGCATTAACGACAAGTTGGGTAGGTGCTAACCCATATAAATTAAGGATAGCTCTAAAGAATGGATGAAGGGACACACGAACTCTCTGTTTTAGAAGAAAATAGTCGTGTACTACTGCCTAGGAAAACAGACTAGCTAATCAAGAGATAGTGCTAGAAACTCTATGGTATAGGGGATACAGTACTTACTTCTCCCTAATATCTACCAGGTTGACAATAGTTATCTTTGAAGGAATTTTGGCTGCTCCCAACCCGTGTCATAGTCTAGATGACCCTCCCTCGTGTATAAGACACTTTTTGACCTGGCCTAATGGCATGGACAAGGTCAATGGTGTTGGTTATGGTAACCCTATCTTTAGAGCTACTGCCATAATATCAGTATTTTCCTATTAGAAAATGAAGAAGTCATGAAATTCAAAATGAAAGAAATGTGATATTATCAAGAGATACTTACGAAATCAAAATATAAAATGCAAGTTGTCAGACTTCTTAACAATGGTCGAAAAAGTTCAACGACCGTAAGCAAATCATAAAGAGTTCGAGAGCTCTTGGGAGTTCAAATTCTTTTTTGGTAAAGTAAAGAATGATTTCTTCAAACTTTGGACTTTTATAAGCGACAGTAATCAACCTCAACTATTGGATTTGGATCCAAACCATCCTACTGCTCATTTAAGATTCAATCTAAGTCGACTATAATGTCCATCATTTCGTATCAGACGTTCGAATCATAGCATCTGACTCACGCACACATATGCATATACTTCCCAAGAACATGCCTGCAACACTTATCATTGCTCATTAAATGCGGTAACGAATGCATGTATGGAAAGTTGAACGTTCCAGTTGTCTTTACTTGAAAACGAACATGACAATAAATCATTTAGGCACAATAATTGAGACACTTTGTTTTCTCAACATTTGAAAAACATACAACTTCAAGAGTCAACACATTTTAGCCTTAACGAATCGCATAAGCACTCCACTTGAACTCCAATGCAAATAGATTAGGTAAATGGCCTCGAGTGCTCCCAAAATTTCTTCTAGATTGACAAGCTCGATCAAAAGGCCCTCAACTGTCCCTTCAAAATTTCATCTCTTTCGAAGCAAACAGTTTCGACCAAAATGACCTCGACTGCTTTAAGAAAGTTCAACAATTTCAAGGTACAAGGCCTTGACAAAAATAATTTATATGCAAATTCAAGTATTTTATAAATATTTGTACTTCAACTTGGAGTCTATTGTGTTGGGCAATGAAATCCAAGAACCAAACAGGAAGAATCGACCATTTGGAAAAAAAGGTCACCCTAATCAAATAATATTTTTAAACAAAGACCACATATTTTATAAATAAATCATACTTGGATTTGAAGGATTATCGTTACTCCTCACCACCTAGGATCAGTCCAAGCATACGTGACAACCACCTGGAGGCATCGATCAAAAGGAAAAGTTAAAGATTGACCAAAGTGGACAGATCGAAGCCCACCTAATAGTCGAGGCCCTTGATAAGTGTGTTTTTACGCACTTATTTAATATCTAAATATGTTATTTATTGATTAAATGAATGAAATTATACTCAAAATTATGTAATATTTGCTTTTGTAGACCAAAAATCACCCAAGGGAAGAGAACAAGGCAAAAGGGAGTGAAAATGACCAAAACCGCATAAAAATGTGTTGGGGCCCAAAGTGCACAAGTGACGAAATTTGGGACCTAAGGTTGCAATTTTGGAGGGCAAAAGTGATATGAAAATCAAATTTTGAGGACTAGATTGTACATGATCAAAGTTGAGGAGCCTTGTGTGCAATTAAATGGAGGACTAAGTTGGAAAAAGAAATGAAGAAAGTTATTATGGTGCACGCGCGAGAGAACCTTTTTGATTTACCGAGACCAAAAGG